TCACGAACCTCTTTGTAAATAGTTTCTTTTGAACAAGTAACTGGTTGTCAGAGTGAAATGGCTGCGTGTACCGTACTCTCGTACACCCCAGCATACACTGGGTGGAGATGCGTTGCCCTGCGGCTTGTATTAAAGCCGCCCAACACGGAACTATCTGCCTGAGCGTCAACAGCTTGTCTGATATAGATATGAGGACATACGCACCATGTGTCAAGCCAAGGGCAGGTTATCACTGCAATTAGAAGTAAGTGTGATAATGAATTTATATTCTGAAGTTTTCACGCCTATGATTTAGTCAGGACGTAATTGTAAAATTGTAAAATGCGAATTGACGTAAAGTCGATTTCTTTTCCCGTGCGACTGTCGGGTAGTGCCGAGCCAGCAGTCTGTGTCGGCGAGGTTGGCATGCCTGAGCGGTTATGCTTTTGGCGTTGTTGAGTTGCGTAAAGTTGGCGGGCCTGCGCCTGCCTTTCCGGCCTATGCGTGGAAGGCAGAGACTCGAAAAATAGAGCATCTCGTCTCTTAGACGGTCCCCTCCGCTCGGCGTGTTGACAGTGTCTTGACACACTCCGCCGCTTTTGGGAACGGACAGCGCACTCACCTGCTTAGTTATGGTAATATCCAGAAACTCTCGGACGCGCTGGACACTCCACTCTCAAGCCCGATCATAAAGCCGTTGAAACTAAAACGTGTTGAACTGAGCGACTCCTGGGCGCCAGGGAAGGCGACAGGCGGCGGCCGTGTTTTGCTCCGGCCCGGCCGCGCGGGCAGGACCAATTAAGAAATCGCGTTTGCAGCGCGGCGCTGCAGGGGCGGCGGCGGCGCAGGCACTATCTGTCTATCAGTACCGCTCGGAGCCGCCACCCGCACCGAGTCCTCCCCCGCCAGGGCACCGCCAGGGCAGACCGGGCTCCCCCACCCCCTGGAGGGCCCCTCCGCGTCCTGCAGGCTACAGTGGCGGGACGCGGAAACACTAATTACCACAGGGAGTTGCAGTTAAACGTTTTTAAATTACTTTAAAAAGACTTGACTAAAAAGTGCAAAAAATATTGCAGAGAAACTAGAAATTTACATAGAATTTCTTTCCATGCTATGGCCACAAACGATTCGCTAAAGTGACTGTCATGTAGGTCGAGGTTGTTTTTGGTACGACCCTCTAGCTGCCAATCCAAACACGCGACTGATTTCGCGTGCATACTGTGTTTGCACGGCACTCAGAAAGCTTTTTGAACCTATTAGTGCCTTGCGTTAAAAGCCCGGCTTTTCATCCATTTCTGGGGTACGTCGGTCTTAGTGGAACGCACTTTATCCTGCAGTGCGGGGCGTGGCGCGGGCCTGCTGGGATAGTGTTGCACTGTTGCACTTTGGTGCAGTACGTTGCACGACTTGGATCGACTTTGTGATTTACGCGTTGTCTGAAGGCAGCAGGGATCAGGTGGAGGTCAAGAAAAGGGCAACGGCGTCGGGCTTGCTTGCACCAAGTTTTATTGTCGTAGGCTAAAAACACGTATGGCAGTTTCTGGTAAAAATCAGATCTTTGAATGACTAGACTGGCTGCGCTGCACGGGGCTGCGGCGCTACCGCCCTTTGGCCGGCTTCTTGGGCCTCCACGTGGCGCGGATGAGATCGCTGGCCTTCTCGGCCACCATGACGATGCCCGCGATGGTGTTGGAGTTGGGCACGATGGGCATGATGGAGGCGTCGGCCACGCGCACGTTGCTGAGGCCGTGGACGCGCAGCTCGGGGTCCACGACGGCGTGGGGGTCGCCGGCGGGGCCCATGCGGCACGTCCCGGCCTGGTGGTGCTCGGGGCCCGTCTCCGTCTGCGCCACGCACCTGCACAAGAAGGCCGTCAGCGTGGTTCCGCCCACTAGGTTTCCAGTGGGGCAGCTTTTGACTCACCCCCAGTACTGGTCCGACGCGAAGGGCAGGTGCTGGCAGCCCTTGACGGGGGTCTCGTCCAGCTTGAAGCCCCACTTGCGCAGCGGCTGCATCTCGCTGAGCTTGGCCGCGGCCTTCATGCCCTCGATGAGCACCAGCAGGTCGCGCTCGTGGTGGAAGTAGTTGCCGAACATGCGGGGCGCGTCGCGCGGGTCGTTGGTGCGCAGCTGCAGCTTGCCCCTGCTGAGCGTGCGGACCACGGTGGGGCGCGCGGCGAGGCGGCGTGTCATCGGGCAGCCCTCCACCACCGGGGAGGACTTGGCGGCGTGCGCGCTGCTCCGCGCCGCGCTCCGGGCCTCGCCGTCGAGGTCGAAGTCAACCTGCCGGACAGAGAGCGTCAGTGCGTGCTGGCGGCTGGGTAAGCGCAGTGAACCCTTCCGCTCACGTTGACGTCGTAGTAGCTGCTCTTGGACAGCGTGGCGTTGGGCGGCACGCACCGCAGCGCCGGCGTCAGCTCCGACTCGCAGCCCGCGTGGTAGCCGTCGAAGAAGATCTGGATGTCGGGCACGCCGTTCTCGGCGAACTTGGAGGCCATGAAGGCCGTGACCTGCGTCAGCCCGGTGGACGTCAGCGGCCCGGAGCGCCTCTGCAGGAACCTGTGCAGCGCCGCCATGGACATGGGGCCCACCTACAAGAAAGGTCGCCGTCAACAACGGTCGTCACTTCCACCGCGAACTTCGTTGAAAGACCCGGTACCTCGTCGTAGTTGTCCTCGTCGTCGTCCAGGATCTCGGCGCCGTACGAGCGCGTGCCCACGTCGTCGACGATGTAGTGGATGGTGGCGGCCACGTGGTTGTGCAGGTTGCGGCCGACGGGCAGGTCGATGGCGGGGGTCACGCCCACGGCGTGCAGCTCCTCGGAGGGCCCGATGCCAGACAGCAGCAGCAACTGCGGCGACCCGAGCGCGCCGCCCGCCAGCACCACCTCCCTCTTGACCCAGGCCGTGCGCGTCACTCCCTTCCTGCGGGGGCAGTCCGTTAGGCGGCGCCGTCATGGAGTGCGTCATGCAGCACGGCCACTTACTTGTCGATGAACTCGACGCCCTTTGCCAGCCGCTTGTCCTTGTTGAGGATGATCTTGGCGGCGAGGCTCTCGGTGTTGACCACCAGGTTGGGCCTGTGCATGGCGGGGCGTAGGTACATGCGCGCCGTGGAGGCCCGCAGGCCCTGGTGCACCATCATCTGCGCCACCACGAAGCCCGTCATGTTCATGCCGTTGAGGTCGGGCGGCGACTCGTAGCCCAGCAGCTCGTGGCCGGCGCGCACGATGTCCTCGGCCAGGATGGGCCGGTGCGGGAAGCGCTGCACGGACAGCGGGCCCTTGTCGTTGTGGAAGTCGGGCTCCACCAGGTGCATCTCGCGGTTGCCCTCGGCGCGGAGGAAGTACTTGAGGACGTCCTTGTAGGCCCAGCCGGGGTTGCCCAGCGCCGCCCAGCCGTCGTAGATGTCCGGCGAGCCCCGCATGTACATCATGCCCTGCAACGTGGCGGTGCTGAAAGGCGTTCGAACGCGTTCCTCGGTGGGGTTGACGCCACACTCACCGTCATGCCGCCCGTGCCGGCCACCATCTTGCCCCGCGGCCACGCGCAGCGCCCCTTGCGGGCCCAGCAGGCGCGGGCCTCGGGTTCCGTCTCGAAGCCCCAGTCCAGGTACGTGCCCACGCTCTTGGAGCTGAACGCGGGCACCATGGTGGCGAGCGGCTCCTCGGGGCCGGCCTCCAGCAGCAGCACCGACACGCCCGTGTCCTCGCTCAGCCGGGACGCCAGCTGCTCACCAAGGGGGTCACTCACTACGCGTACCGCGGCTGGTGTCGAAGGACCGTTTCGTCTCTCAAGACGATCCTCCGAAACCAGGCTCGGTGACTCTACCTGCTCTGCTCACCACGGATCCGGCGACGCCGGCGCCGACGACGACGTAGTCGAACTCGTCCTGGCCGCGGCGCTCGAAGGCGTCGGGCTGCGCGCGGCGGCACGGCTCGGCCACGTCGCAGCGGTCCTTGAGCACCATCTCGATGATGCCCAGGAAGAGGGCGAGCGACGGCCCGCACACGCCGCGCAGGAAGGTGGCGTCCGAGTACTCGCAGTCGCAGCCGCACGTCAGCGGCCGGATGGTGAGGTTGACGGGCACGGGCGCCGTGGAGTTGGTCACCGCCATCTGCACCGTCCCGTAGCCCGCGCCGTACCCCGCCAGCAACGCCATCTCGAACTCAACGGCGGTGCGTCGGCCACCTACTGCGTGGCCCTGACCGCGACTGGTCCCTGACTCCGTGACTCAGTGGCCGAGGTCCTGACCCAGCGCGCTCGGCCTGCTCGGCCCGGACTCCAGGCTGGGCTGGCCTTGCCGGGGGACTGGGGCTGGCCGGGCCCGGGACTGACACTGCAGAACCCGCTGCTGGCCTTATCACAGCTTTCCCCAACCCAGACCGCCAGCCGCCAGCACGCCCGGTCCTTGTCAACGCCCGGCCGCCGCGCCGCGCCTCCACGCCGCGCGCGTGATGGGCTAAGTGCAGGTGCATTGCACCGGCGGGCTGATTCCGAACGCCGCGCTCCGTCTCGCTCGGCCCTACGGCCCGCCCCGCCAGTGCGAGGGAGACAGTGCGACGACTTGAGGGTCATCACGTGCTGGGCGGCGTGCCGCTGCATTTGGAACAGGCGCGACCTGGCGCACGCCGTGCCGCCGAAAGACAGGCTAACGTCCCCAGGACGGGCCCCAAGACGCCGTGCTCTGTCTCTCTCGCACTCACGGGGCGTCCCGTGCGGGTGCGAGAGAGACAGAGCCAGCCGAACGCGGATACGTGACGCAGTGTTCCGGGCAATCGTGTCGTTTTCGGAAGCGGAGTGTCAACGCGAGATTGCGAGTATCTTTTCAGAATAGCAGACCGCGGCCCTGTTGCCCGCCTGTCTAATTTTTCGGCAGTTCCGGGAGAAACATTGCGCGTGAGCTCACGAGCTGGAGCGAGCCCGATTCCCGTTAGGGTAACGGGGCTTTGACATCATCGGCCACCTCCGTAAAACGATGCTGTGTGAAAAAGGTCGAAAATTTTGGCGCAGTGACAACCACTTGATACAATCTCAGTCTTTATTTCCTTATAAAATTATCTCTTAAAATTATTCTCTTAAATTAACACCCGGCGAGCGCTCTAGTTTTGCTACCAGCCGTAGAAGTAGTCGGCGTACTCCGCGGCCTCGCGGGGCGCGTCGGGCGGCGTCCACGGCGCGTGCCAGTCCTGCTTGATCATGTCGGCGGCCTTCTCGGCCACCATGATGACGGGCGCCATGGTGTTGCCGCTGGGGATGGTGGGCATGATGGAGCAGTCCACGACGCGCAGCCCCACCACGCCGTAGACGCGCAGGCGGGGGTCCACGACGGCCAGGGGGTCGTACTCCGGACCCATCTTGCAGGTGCCCACCGGGTGGTAGATGGTCATGGAGTACTGCCGTGCCTGCGGTCCGAGAGACACCGTGTACTTCGCAGTGTGCGAGTATGGAGCTGTCTCTCTCGCACCCATACGAGACGCCCCCATGAGAGCGAGAGAGACGGAGCAACTGAAACGACTCTCGGAATCAGTCTGCCGGGCGCCTTGGCCATGCTCCGGCACTGTCGCGGACTCTCATTGCCCAACGCCCTGTTCCCCTCCCCGAGGCGAATCTCTATGAAACCAATCATGCAAAACAACAGCCTCGCCGTTTTTGTTTTGCGCGGCGGCGCTTGGCTGTGTACGGCGCGTACACTGGGTACACTGTACAGTGGACTCACCTGGCAGGCCCAGTACTCGTCGGAGGGGAAGGGCAGGTGCTCGCAGGCGGGGAACTTGTTGGGGTTGATGCGCGCGTTGAGTGCCCGCAAGGCCCGTGTGTCCATTAGCCTGTAGCCCGCCTTGGCGCCCTCCACCTGCAAGCAAGCGAAGCAAGCCGACAAGCACGTCACCGGGGCGCTGACGTCACGGCCCTCCGTGTCTGCGCGTCGCCCGCGGAGCCGACGGACGGACAGACGGGCCCGGCGCGGATTCATCCCAGTTTTATGGCATTAGAAAGGAAGGCGGTGACTCCGGTGACCCACATCACGCCTACGACGCGACGCGGCGCGATAACAGAGTACCAGGACACCGATTCCGGGAGTCGTCTTCGTCGCTCTGTCTCTCTCGCACCTCTACGGGGCGCCCCGTGTGTGCGAGGTGGACAGGGCGACGGAGAGGACTCTCGGAATCGGTCTGCAGAGTGGCCCGACTGGTGCGGCCAGGACCCGCCAGCCTCTGTCCTCCTCCTCGGTCCTCCAGGAGGCCTCCAGGAGGCCAGGGCATTCTCCGCACTTTTCCCGATAGATCCTTGGCCCTCGGCTTTCCCTCGGCCTCGCGCGGCGCGCAGCCTCGCCCTCTTCCTCCGCCGAGGCTGGCATCCTGGTCGCGTCCCTTTCGGTCCCTTTCCCCGCGCCGCTCACCAGGATCTCGACGTCCCTGGGGTCGGCCAGGTAGTTGGGGTCGATGACGGGGTGCTCGTCGATGTCGGCGCTGCGGAGGCGCACGGTGCCCCTGGAGCGCGGCCGCAGCAGCAGCGGCACCACGGAGTAGGCCTCGTGGTACAGGATGGGCTCGTACACGGCGGCGTACACGTCGTCCTCCACGCCCAGGTTGCGCATGTTGAAGATGCCGCCGTCCGACGCGTCGCTGGCGCTCGCCAGGAAGAGCTGCACATCGGGCCAGTCGTCGGACTGGTTGGCGTACCTGGAACGTTCGATAAAATGTCGCTTTTGGGCGTCCTTTCCGTGGCACGGCGACAACACTCTGGCGCTGCTTACTTTGTGCTGACGAAGCCCATGACCTCCCCCTGCGGCCACGCGTACATGGGGCCGCCCGTGCCCGTGATGAAGCCCAGCAGCGTCTGCAGGGTGGCGGCCCTGGGCAGGATGAAGACCTCCCCCATGGGGCCCGTGTGCGGCGGCGAGTCCACCAGGTACGCCGTGCCGCCCAGCGCCACGTGGTCCTGGAGGTTGCCGCCGACGCCGGGCGAGTCCAGCACTACGGGCACGCCGACCTCCTGCAGGTGCTCGGCCGGCCCCACGCCGGACACCATGAGCAGCTGGGGCGTCTGCACGGCGCCGGCGGACAGGATGACCTCCCTGCTGGCGTACGCGACGTGCAGGCTGGCGCTGCCGCGCTTGCGGAAGGCCACCCCCACGGCGCGGCCCTCCACGATGAGCACGCGCTGCGCCATGGAGTGCAGGCTGACGTGCAGGTTGGGCCGCTTGGAGGCGGGCCGGAGGAACGCCTGTCGGGTGGAGGGGTCGTCAGCAGGCTGTCTCACTCGCACTCACGCGGCGCCCCGACTCGGGCACAAGTTGGCTAACCTTGGACGCGGAGCAGCGCAGCCCCTGGCGCACGGTGGCGTGCGACTTCATGAACCCCGTCTGCACCTCGCCGTTGACGTCGCCGATGCGGATCCCCAGCTCCTTGCCGGCCTCCAGGAAGTCGTCGGCGATGTGCGAGTAGTACTTGTAGAACTCGACGCTCAGCTCGCCGCCCACGCCGTGGTACGGCGAGCCGCGCAGGTCGTGCGCGCGCATGTCCTCGCTCTTCTTGAAGTAGGGCAGGATGTCGTCGTAGCCCCAGCCCGGGCAGCCCGTGTCCCGCCAGGCGTCGTAGTCGCGCCGGTTGCCGCGGATGTACAGCATGCCGTTGATGGTGCTGCAGCCGCCCAGGACCTGCACATCGAAACCGTCTTCATGTTCACCAGGATCCGACCTCCCCACCGCGACCTCCGTCCCGCACCTCACCTTCCCCCTGGGCCAGGACGACCTAGACTCCCTGAACGCGTGGCAGGCGTTGGACTGCGGCTCCGTCTTGAACTTCCAGTCGACCTGCGAGTTGGGCAGGGAGGGCATGAGGATGGGCACGTCGGAGAGGTACTGCTCGTCGCCGCCCGCCTCCAGCAGCAGCACTGTCCACTCGGGGTTTTCCGTCAGCCTGACAACCGGCAAGGAAAATGTTCACCGGCGGAGCAAAAACAACAAATCCGAAAATGCGGTGTTTGCACCCCTAGCGCAGCGGCTCTCAACCTTTCTCGGCTCGCGACCCCAAATTTGAAGCCAAAAATTTCCGCGACCCCCTGGAAAAATTTCGCGACCCCACGGGACCCCTCCTTTAACATGCCACGGCGTCTGATCCGAGGCGGGCATTTGGCTCCCTCAACGGGCAGTTGGTCTTTGGACCTTCCTTTAGCATGCCTTTGTTACGGAGTGCAATTATCAGTCTTAGTTTGGGAGCAGTATTGTCTCAAAGTTGGCCAAAACGCTCAGAAATGTCTGTGAAAAATCGTGTTTTGGGCTGATTTTAAGCAGCCACAGCGTCTGATCTGAGGCGGGCATTTTGCTCCCTCAACGGGCAGTTGGTCTTTGGACCTTCCTTTAGCATGCCTCTGTTACGGAGTGCGATTATCAGTCTTAGTTTGGGAGCAGTATTGTCTCAAAGTTAGCCGAAACGGTCAGCAGAGACTTTGAAAAATCGTGTTTTGGGCCGATTTTAAGCAGCCACTGCGTCTGATCCGAGGCGGGCATTTTGCTCCCTCAACGGGCAGTTGGTCTTTGGACCTTCCTTTAGCATGCCTTTGTTACGGAGTGCAATTATCAGTCTTAGTTTGGGAGCAGTATTGTCTCAAAGTTGGCCGAAACGCTCAGAAATGTCTATGAAAAATCGTGTTTTGGGCCGATTTTAAGCAGCCACTGCGTCTGATCCGAGGCGGGCATTTTGCTCCCTCAACGGGCAATTGGTCTTTGGACCTTCCTTTAGCATGCCTTTGTTACGGAGTGCGATTATCAGTCTTAGTTTGGGAGCAGTATTGTCTCAAAGTTGACCAAAATAGTCACAACGGTTTTTCAAAGACACTTGCGACCGTTTTGATCGACTTTGAGACAATACTGCTCCCAAACTAAGACTGACAATCGCACTCCGTAACAAAGGCATGCTAAAGGAAGGTCCAAAGACCAATTGCCCGTTGAGGGAGCAAAATGCCCGCCTCGGATCAGACGCAGTGGCTGCTTAAAATCGGCCCAAAACACGATTTTTCATAGACATTTCTGAGCGTTTCGGCCAACTTTGAGACAATACTGCTCCCAAACTAAGACTGATAATTGCACTCCGTAACAAAGGCATGCTAAAGGAAGGTCCAAAGACCAACTGCCCGTTGAAGGAGCAAAATGCCCGCCTCGGATCAGACGCAGTGGCTGCTTAAAATCGGCCTAAAACACGACCCCAGCATCGCCGCGACCCCTTAAAAAAATTTCGCGACCCCGCTTGGGGTCGCGACCCTAAGGTTGAGAACCACTGCCCTAGCGTTCACCTGTTGGCCAGGACGCAGCCCGCCGTGCCGCCGCCCACCACGATGAAGTCGTAGCTGGTGCGCAGCCGGTGCGCCGGCGTGTCCTGCGGCCGGTTGTCGCGGTCCACGATGTCGGGCCGGAAGGCGATGATGGCGAGGCGCGCAATGACGATGAACAGGAAGCCGGGGCCGTAGCTGACGGCGATGCGCGTGTGCGTGAGGAAGCCGACGCCGCGGTGCAGGCCCTGCAGGCCCAGGCCCAGCGACGGCGGCCGCATGGTGTCCGGGACTCCGGGGCGCCTACGTGCAGGGCGTCATCGCGGTGCTCGCGGCGGCGGCTACACACGACTTTTCGCGTTTCGGCGGCAGGCCTGCGCGGGCGGCGTGTTGGCACTGGGGCAGTGCGGCGCGGCGTGGTGGCCCTCACGGGCGTGGCCCAAATTAATTTGATGCGTGTGCAAACCGCTCGCGCAAATACTGCCGACGTCTCACTGTCCGCACGGCGCGCCCATGGCCGGCAGGGCCAGGCCGCTGGCTCGGCCGATCGCCCAGCCCTTCCACGCCCTTTTTCGGAATCTCCAGAGATCGCTCTTTTGTTTTTTTTTTTGCTGTGGAGTTCGACGCACCTGTCTGGCGAATGTCGCTCGCGTTCGCGCGATGCGTTTTGCTGAGTAGCCGATTGAACAGCACCTTGAGGGGACACCGAATTGTGTAGTGTGAGTCAGTCAAAAAAGTTATGTAGCGTTTGCTTCTTTTCTTATTTTATTCTAGTTTTTTGAAACAAAGAAATTTTGAAACAACATCTCAACAAAAACAATAGACAACAATAAAAATTACCAGTAACGTGGTCGGGCGATTTCCACGCATTAGCGCCTTGAACCAATCACTTATAAATACGTAATCTATTAATTAAAGTAACAATAATGATAACTCTCAACGACCATGTCTAAACTGTCTTCATTTCATTATAATTATTATCTCTATCAGGCAGATTTTGTGATCACAGCAATGCTTTCCAGCAAAATATCCGGTAGATTCAATCGTTATCGCTGAAAGAAACGAGCTACCCTCAAGCGTCTAAAAATAAATAAGAACAAACACTACAGAGGGGTGGCACCCTACTTAAATAAGTACCAATAGTGTTCAGCACTATTTTAGGAACTCAGTGCAGGCAGGATCGTCCGCCGGAGGTGGTGCCTTAACACGCGAGGCAGTCCTGGGCAAATCACTTCCTGTCAGAACTCTCACTGTGAGAACAAAAATAAATAAACAAGCGACGTAGACAGTGCTTGTTAAAGTCTTTGTTTTGAGCCTTTTTTCGCCGCCAGCTCAAATTTACTTTGAGCAAATACGCGTTTTTTGATTTCGCTCGAATCCCAAGTCGAAAATTCGACCAGGGAACACAGGGGCGTCACTTTCAAGTGTCACTTTCGCCGTCACTTCTAACGTCACTGCGCGTTCACTTCCTGCCGATGTCGATCCGCATGTTCTCGCTGCTGCCCTGCTGCTGGCCGGTCTTCCGCAGCCAGAAGTCCTTGATCATGTCGGCGCCCTTCTCGGCCACCATGATGGTGGGCGCGTTGGTGTTGCCCGACACCATGGTGGGCATGACGGAGGCGTCGATGACGCGCAGCCCCCGGATGCCGTACACCCGGAGCTGGGGGTCCACGACGGCGTCCTGGTCCCAGGCGGGGCCCATCTTGCAGGTGCCCACCGGGTGGTAGATGGTGACGGAGTAGTGCCTGATCATGCACTCCCAGTACGCGTCCGTCCACATGGGCACCGCCGTGCACCCGGGGAACTGGATGTTGTGCATGGTGCTGCCGAACCTGTAGGGGCATGCTGACGTCAGAGGCGTTCTTGGAGTGACGCTTGTTTGCGTGCTGCAGGTAAGGGACTCACCGCTGGAACGACTTGGTCCTGCTGATGGCCACGCCCACCTTGACGCCCTCGATGAGCACCTTCATGTCGTCCGGGTCGAAGAAGTAGTTGGGGTAGATGAGCGGGTAGTCGAGCGGGTTGCTGGAGCGCAGCTTGATGACTCCGCGCGACTTGGGCCTGCAACGCGACGCGGTCTCGGTGACACTGCGAAATTCGGCGCCGCAATGCCGCTTGGTTCGAACGGCGCTTACCTGAGCAGCACGGGGATGACGGACCACACGTCCTTGTTGCTGATGGGGTCGAAGACGGTGTTGTAGAACGCGTCGGTCAGCCCGTGCGCCTTGCGCAGCTGCCGCCCGCCGTCCGAGTTGGTGGACCCGGACACGAAGTGGAACTCGATGTCGGGCCAGTCGTCCGACGCGTTGGCGTACTTGGTGTTGACGAACGCCAGCCCCTCCACGCCTGCAAGCACGGCAGCACGGGAGGTGAATGGGTGGCCTGCGCGCCGGGCGCGGCGGGCTGGCTGACGTGCGCGTTGGGCGGCCTACCCCGCCGGCGCCACCCTTACCTCCGAGCACGGTGAGCGGGCCGTCGCCGAACATGGCGTAGCGCAGCACGGACGGCACGTTCTCGATGCGGTTCTGCACCATGGACACCTCCTTGTTGACCATGAAGGTGAAGCCGCCGAGGCCCACGTGGTCCTGGAGGTTCTCGCCGACCTGCGGAAGGGAGGGGTGGCGTCAAGTCCGCGGCGTGCGGGGACCGCCACTGGTACTCTGTCTGGGGGACGCACCTTGAGGTCGTGGATGACGGGGATGCCGAGGGAGCGCAGGTGCTCCTTGGGGCCGACGCCGGACAGCATGAGGAGCTGCGGGCTGTTGATGGCGCCGCCGGAGAGGATGACCTCCCTGGTGGCGCGCACGCGGTGCATGGTGCCGTCGCGCCGGAACTCGACGCCGTACGCCAGCTTGGTCTTGGGGTCGATGAGCACGCGCGTGACGTGCGCGTTCATGGCCACGTGCAGCCCCTTGCGCAGGCGCGCCGGCCGCAGGAACGCCTTGCCCGTGCTGCAGCGCGCGCCGCGCCGCGTGGTGCCTGCGAGGGAAGCGTGGGTTCGAATACCGGCGGAGCGTTCGTGTTTTTGTTTTCACCCCTCTGGGGCTTACCTTGCGCGATCATGAACCCCGTCTGGAACTCGCCGTTGCAGTCGCGGTTCTCGTAGCCCATCTCCACGCCGGCCTGCACGAAGGCGGCGGCCAGGGGGGTGTGCCAGGGCGCCTCCTGCACCGTCAGGTAGCCGCCCTGCGAGTGGTAGGGCGTGCGCGCCAGGTACGGGTTGCGGTTGTCCTCGCTCTTCTTGAAGTAGTACAGCGTCTCGTCCGAGCCCCAGCCCGGGTTGCCCGCCGCCTCCCACGCGTCGTAGTCTCGCTTGTTGCCGCGCACGTACAGCATGTAGTTGAGCACGGAGGAGCCGCCGATCACCTTGCCGCGCGGCCAGTTGCAGCGCCCGTTCTTCATGCCTGGAAGCGGAAGGTCGCGGGTTCAAACACTCACCAATTTTTTTTTTTTTTTGTCGTTGCTGGTTTGAGAGTGACACTTACCTAGACACGCGGTTCCCTGCGGCTCAGTCTTGTACTTCCAGTCGAGCTTGCTGAGCTGCAGGTAGCCGGCGAGGACGGGCACGTCCGAGATGTCGGTCTCGTCGGGCCCCGCCTCCAGCAGCAGCACTCGCCAGTTCTCCACCTCCGTCAGCCGGTTGGCCAGCACCGCCCCTGCGTGTTCAATGCAGATCATTAGTCTCAGGAACGGTCTTCTGGCACACTGTGAAAAGTCTTTCCGCGGTCTCACCTGCGGAGCCGGCCCCCACTATGATGAAGTCGTACGACGGCCACAGCTCCTCGGTGGGCACGTTGATGGGCCTGGACTCGGGGTCCATGTTGTCGTAGTTGAAGTAGGCGACGGCGGCCACCAGCATGGGCACGAAGTAGGCCGCGTTGGACACGAAGCTGCCGACGCCGGCCAGCCCCGTGAGGGCGGCGGGCAGCCCCACGATGCCGCTCATGGCTGTGGCTGCTCACTTCCTGCGGCAGGGGAAGCGGGGCACCCTCAGTTTGCGCGGGAAGCTCGAAGCAAAGCGAGATCGCGGTGGGAGCGGTAGGTAGCTGTCCCACGACGGCCTGTCGGCCCGACAGCCATCGGTACTAAGCGGCCTCTTCCGCTCGTCGGTCTGTCTCTCTCGCACCCTCACGGCGCGCCCCACGAGTGGGAGAGAGACACCCCCGCGCGGAAATGATTGTCCTGGCGCACCGCGTGGCACACAGTGTCGTGGCACGCGCTCCCTCTGTGGACACCGGCATGCGACGAGTGCTCGCTTTCTCCGCTCTATTGGCAGCCACTTGACTGATGCCGTCGCTCTGTCTCTCTCGCACCCTTCCGTCACGCTCCGCCAGTGTGAGAGAGACGCGGCTGGATTCCAATTTGCCGCCGGGTTAAGGTCATGCATTGGCGGCTGACGCAACGCGCAGTGGGCCATGCGGTGCAGTGCAGCCCTCGGCACAGCCGGTGGGTGAAAGTTCGTTCGGCCGGACAGACGAGACGATTTGTCGGCAATTATGGGAACACAGGGCGCCCCGGCCGCCCCCAGTCGGCGACGACCTAGTCGGCGACGGGGAGGTTAAAGTGGCCGACCAAGCCGCCCCCACATTCCAGCCGACCGGCAGGGGCTTGGGCGTACGGCTCGCGTCACAGAGAATAACGTGTCAAATTTTTTAAAATAAATTTAAAAAAATAATAGAAAATCTTTTATTTAGAGAGTAATTGACCTTTTTTTGGTATTTTTGAGTTGCTTTTGAATTTTTTTAACAGCTAGATGCTAACGACTTGACTGTGGTCTTTTTTTTTTTCGGGGCACTAGTAGTGTTGTAAACAAAAGCTCTAACCAGCCGACTGCACACCGATGCACGCGTGGTTCCTTGGCCCAAAATCACTGGGCGAAGGACGCGCCGGGATGTCCTCGACGGCGTCGTCCTCGCGAACGAGCGCCGGTACACTGTGGATGGGTCACTTGTCACGCTCCCGTCCGCCACACTCGTCACGCCGAGCACACTGTCACGTTCCACGCTCGCGCCACGCACGCGCCTCGCACTCGCCGTGCACCTCGTTCCCCGTCAAGAGGTTCCCGATCACTGCCGTCGACGTGCTGCCGCCTCGCGCGGACGGGGGTCGCCCACTGGGGGCGGGGTGTCCAGGGCGGGGCGGGGCGGGGCGGGGCGGCTTCCGAACGGGGCGCGCTACGCGCTGCACTTGCGGCACCACCCCCGCCGGCTGTTGTTGTAACGGGTGCGACAGAGAGGAGGGGAGCGCGCGTGTGGGATCGCGTCCAAGAGTTGCCCTCCGCGGCTTATATAATGAGCCCCGGATTTGCCGAAGCCGCCAAGGTTCTTGTCTTTCGCAACGAGCGGGGGTGGCGCGTCGCGTATGCACCGAGACGGCCGCCACCGCAGTCCAGCCAGCTCTTTGTTTTATTTCTCATACTTTGGAGCGTTCTAGCTGGACCCTATAGTGTGTCGCATTCTCTCACCAAACCAGGGTGGCACTGGGTGGAGCTATCTCTCGCTCTAGCCTGCGAGAGGGAGTGAGACCGCGCTCCTCAAAACTGCGAGCTCGCTTTCCGAGCGGCGAAACTGACAGTGCCGTTTACAGTGCGGTAGGCCGGCCCATGCTCCTCAAAGGGTTTGCTTTCCGGCTCTGCCCGAATTCCTGCCAGTGTGCGTACGCCGTTGCGTTGCCGTTGCGTAGCGCGCAGCCGCGCCTTGCCGCCGGCGACGGCCCGGGACCACCTCGTGCATGCTAGGGCAGGTGCGGTCATGTGACGCGAGCGGGCCGTTTTGTTGTTCTGGGTCTTTTTCTGCTATTCTCACAGTGGCGGGGTGGTTGCCCAACGAGGGCTTTGGATTCTGGCCGGGAAGTGGCACCTGTCGAACGACGCAGTCGTCTCTGTCGCTCTCGCGGGACTCTCCGTAAGGGTGCGAGAGGGACAGAGCGACAAACCGATGCTGCTCGGTCCGGCGCCAGCGAGACCCAAGGGCGCGCTTACGTGTGTCTCTCTCGCACTCACGTAAAGGCGTGAAAGAGACAGAGTGAGGTGAATCGGTCTACAGTAAGGACACTGCTGAGGAGGCTAGGAAGAAAGTGACTTGCCATCGGCAGGCTTATGCCGGCTTGGAACCGGTGTGATGGACGCTTCTAGAACCCGCGGGGAGTTTCACCCGTCGGCCCTGCAACGCTTGGCGGGTGCCACGTACCGCGGATTCGCAGCTATCAGAAAGGAAAGAAAAGACTGCTCCGACAAGAAGCGCTCAGCACGCTGCTTCTCTTCGACCGACGTGGGTTTTGCGAACCGCTCCTCAGTAACGGTGCACCGGGCGGCGACGGCGTGCCGCGTGCGACCGGGCGACTCACCTGCGAGGACCGGGCCTCGGCCAAGGCATCAGCCTTGAACTTGGCTGGAGCCGGCCTGGAGCCTGGAGCCGGCCTGGAAAGGCCTTGGCGTCGATGCTGGACGTCGCTGATGCGTTCGACGGGGCGCCGCACTCACTGTCACACACTGTCTACTGCGATGACACACTGTAGGGCAGGGCTACGCTGCGGGGGCGCGGGGCCAGTGGGCCTCTGCGTGGCACCGCACCGACATAGCCGTGCGTCGAGGAGGTCGCGGAGGACGGCGTCGAAGACGTGTCGGTCGAGGATGCCGATGTGGACGACGTCGCGGAGCGCGGAGCGGCCGGCAGGACGCGTCGGTCTGGAGGGCGTCGTTGGACTCTCTGCGGCGTGCTCGCCGGCCTGCCCTACTCGGCGACGCCGGGCGTCGTCCCGCGGCCCATGCCGGTGCCCCCCCCCCTTTTCTTCCTCTCCCGCGGAGGGTAACGGGACAGCCGCTGCGGCGCACCGCGCCGGCTAAGCTTCCTCTTCTCTTTCTAAACACGGAGCCGCCTTGCCCTTCACCGTCCGCTCCTCCGAGTCATGTCCGGTGCGCCTGTGCCCTCAACGAGGCCGTCGGGCACCTCACCGAGCACCTTCATGTACCTGTTGTACCGGCCGCCGCCTTTGGATTACCACAATGGACTTCCCTCCGAAAAATCGCCCCTTCAGTTCCAGTTCCCCTGCTCCATAGGAGATAAGAGCAGTTTGCCTCGAATTGAACTTTACAAGATTTTATAAATTTAAAGTCCCAAGTCTCCTGGCTGACCTCTCACTCACCCCCGAGTATCCAATGGGGCGGTCACTTTGTTATTTTTTCAGCGAGGATAAAATTAACTTTTGCATGAGGTCAGAGTTGTGACCTATCGCCGTGGCCCCCCTGAGCGGCTGACGTGCTTCCGGGGGAATGCGTCCCCTCTCTCGGTCCCCTCCACGCTCGGCCGCTCCTCGCGGCTCGTTTCTGACACGTCGCGCGTTCGCCGCCACCCAACCATTTTCCCCATTTTCCGGTGGAAAGCGAAAGCCCTGCCGCGTCGTCACCACACTGCTACACTGCCCTCTGCAGGCGCGGCGGCGCTGACGAACTGACAATGCCATGCGCTTTCTACCGCCCACTGGGGTGTCCGTCGTGAACTCAAGCCTGCTGCTCATGGTGCTGTGGCCCATGGTGGCTGCTCATGGACTGCCATTTTGTGCCCATGGACAAGTGAGCCATCGTGAATGACGTCATCAAATCGCACCTGTGGCGGCGCATGCCCTGGTCCTGGTGACGCGGCGCCGCTGGTTGGGCTGCCTACCTGCACGGCGCTGGCGGGGCCACCTGCCTCGGCGCACGTAGGCCCCGCGGGGTGGCTTTCGAAAGGGCCCCGCCACACTGCGGGTGCGAGAGAGAGGGAGGGAGCGAGAGGGGCTGCGGGCCGGCTGCGGGAGAGAGTGAGGCGCGAGGCGCCGGCGCCACTCCCTGCACACGCTCTACTTGCACGGCCGACCCGCGCGGTCTGCGTTCCACAGCCACACTGACAGACGGACAGACAGTCGGACAGACCGACGGGCACTCGGACGCAGCCCGGGGCACGCGCCGGAAAGCTTTCTATTCTGGAGCCGACGAAGGGCCCCGGGCCCCAGGACGCCGTGACGAAGTGACTGGCGGTGACGCCGTGCTGACGTGCCCGTCGCCACGGCGTCGCCGCGGCGTCCCTACAGTGCCGACGCCTCGGTCGGCGGGGCGGGGGGCACGCCGCGGTGGCCGCGCGCACGGACCGTGCAGCCCTTACGGGCCGCGGCGGCGAGCCCCACATTGTTCTACAGTGGAGGCGCGCAGCGGAGCCACCCATTCATTTTTACCGATTTTTTGGGGGGCTGTAAAATGCAAGTTTTCGAAAAAAAAATTGTTTTTGTTTTTAATTGACCCCGGCGTTGTTGTTGCTGTTGCAGGCGGCTGTTGCGGCTCCACCACCAAGCGCACCATCGTGGGCGGCTGGGCCTGGGCCTGGTGGCTGGTCACGGACGTGCAGTACCTGTCGCTGGAGGTGATGACGCTCAACCCCATGTGCGAGATGGTGGAGACGGCGCAGGGCGTGCCGCTGACGGTGACGGGCGTGGCGCAGTGCAAGATCATGAAGGCCGACGAGCTGCTGCAGACGGCCAGCGAGCAGTTCCTCGGCAAGTCCGTCAAGGAGATAAAGTCCACCGTGCTGCAGACGCTCGAGGGACACCTCAGGGCCATTCTAGGTGAGGATTTTAGTTTAGGAAGTTCTCTTTTTCTTTTCAGTGTTGCCGTGCTGGTGGATTCAGGCGTTATGTAGGTCAAGGGTGGGTGGGCGCTAGTACCCGCGAGTCCGCGTTCTGATTTCTCGACGCGGTGCACGTCAAGGACGGCTTGCTCAAGGTCCCCGCCTCGCTTCGCTAGTCGGCTTGTCGTCGGCCGCGGTCCCTGCAGCACAGCATGCACTCAGTGCCGACCCGTCCCCGTCATCGGCAGCGCTGTCAGTCACAAGTCCATCGGACCGGTTATCGACGCCGGTACCCTCGGCGACGAGGGACTCTCGCGGGGTATCGCCGCGGCTATACGCTCCGCGGCGGTCTCTGCGGCGCGGGGTAGCGCTGGTCAGTTAGCGACCACGTGGTGGGCACGGAGCCCCGGAAGGCGGCGGCCGACGGGTAATGGTCGACGTGCATGCCCTGCCCGAGGCGGCGGGCGCGACGTCGCCGACGTCGAGGAAGTACCGCGCCTGGAGGCCAGACGGACCACGCCCCCTCTATCGCAGCGAGCGACGGGATACCCATAATAATTGCAAGTTCGGTTAGCTACTCTGGCGTGGCGTGGCGGGGCGGGGCGGTCGTCCAGGAAGGGGAAGACCCCGCTGTGTGGCCAGTGCTTTGAATCGGTAATTCAAAAGACGAAGAATTGAGAGAAAAATTGGGTGCAGGCCGCTCTGTTTGCCTGACAAATCCCTATGACAGTTCAATCCGGGAAAAAAATTGGGACAAAAATAGAGATCCTTTTCGTTTCCGCTTCCTCCTGTACGAAATAGACCACGGCGTGAAAATGCGCGTGGTTTTCCGCACTCGGTTCGGCTCGGCGAGGGCTATCGGTGACAGTGACAGGTGCCCGATGGCCGATGCCATGCCGATGGCGGTGTCCTTGGGGCTTGACCGCGCCGGGCCGCGCCGACCCAGGGAACCAAGGCGCCACGCGTCCACGTCCACTTGGAGTCCACGACTCGATGTCAGCTGACAGCCTGGCCGGCCGGGCCAGCTGGAGCCGTTTAGTGTAACGACGGGCTCGCGTGCCTGGGCCAGGCCTGAGCCTCGCCCCGCGCAGTGCAGTGGCGTTGCTGCTCGATGACCACATTGATTCGGCGACCTGCTCGTACTTCGTCCTCCCACGGACTGTACCTCGTACTCCTTTCTTCCGCGGACTGTACCCCGTGTCGATCGCTCCCCCGGATCGTCCCGCTCTTCCAAATTGCGCCCCGTGATTGCTGCTTCTTGCACGCGCGTGCGGCACGCCATCGCTCTGTCTCTCTCGCACCCTTGCGGGACGCCCCGCGAGTGCGAGAGAGACAGAGAGTTCGGGATCGGACTGCTGGCGTAGCGATTTGCGCGGTCGGGTTGGGATGGGATGGGATGGGTGACCGCTGCTGGGTGACCAGTGTGTCCGCGGAACCCCGGGCACGTCTTAGCCAGCCAGCCCATCTCCCTCTAATGGGCCTCGAATGGAGCTCACGAGGGTTGGCTTGCCCTTCGCACAAATCGCGTTCGGGATTTTGACCGCCTCCCACCGTTCTTCTGGCCCACTGTGCTAAGGTGCGCCAATCCTCGCGCATTCATCGTGCGGGAGCAAGTCGATGGTGAACTGGAAATAGCCGGTGCCTCGCGGGCTGTGAGGGCGGCCGGGGGCAGCCGGGGCCTGATAAGCTTTCGTCGTTGACCTAGGTCTGTCTCTTTCTCCTGACCCTGAAAATGGCAAAGGTTGCCGTGGAATCGGAGGCGGCACGCGGCCGTAAAACAAAAACAGTTTGTTTCTTTTCTGGTTGTGGGCTGGCTTCAAATATATGGCAAGCATAATATAGGAAAGTTCCCGTACGTCTTTAGCTGGTTTTGCCCCCAAGAGTGTCGAACTCTGGCTTTTGGTCTGGGTTGGGTTCGTCAAACCAAAGGCGATCCAAAGCCAAAGGGGGATCCAGGGCAACTAGCCCCAGCAATGATTTTTGTCTAGTGACTGGCTGGGCGCGGCGCAGTGCCCCGTGGACTTTGACATTCGACACGGCACCATATTGGCGCCGTACACTGTTAATTAGTAACGTGGCTGTCTCCCGGACCGTCCCGGACCGGACCGCCACCGTCGGCACGCGAGACTGCATTGCCTTATTTATGATGAGTTGTGGCGTCGTGGTTGCCACGCGACTCGCCCGGTCGGCTCGGCTCGGCTCGGCTCGGCTCGATGTCAAGTTTAAGGTCCTGCAGGCGGCCGCGCTAGGTCAAGGGCAGTGTCCGCGGTGTCCGTGTGTCCGTTCGAGGGCGTCGGTTCAAAGTCAGTCACTGCACCCGGACCTCCTCTGCGCTTCCAATTTTTTTCGCGCCCAGGGTTTCTCTGCTCCAGTTCCTGTTCCAGGACAAACAATCCTGCTGGCTGACTGTTGCAAAAAAAAATCGCGGCGTAAATATAGTTAGGAAAATTTTCCTTACATCTATGTACTTTGTTACACGAAAAAAAAGTTGCATCACAGTGGCGCGAACGCAGCATCCGTTGCACGGCCGGCTTTGCGTCAGCGCTTGCGGCATCGGGGTGCTCTCCCCGAGTGGTGACGTCACCGACGCCGCTATCGGGACAAAATTGTGGTGACCTGATTATGTGGGAAAGGGGGCCGGGGTTTCTGGTGACGACCGCCTTTGCCTAGTTGATTGGCCTTCGGGCATTCGCCGATCGAGGTTCGGAAACTGGGCTGTCGTTAAGTTTCCCCCAAGAGACGAGATGAAAGTTTTTCTAGTGACCACTTAGACCTAATGAAAACGCGGCAAAACGTCCTTGGGTGGTTTTTAGTCGTCCGATTTGTGTGGGGTAATTTTAAAGACATTCCGATGATTAGGTCAAGGGAGCGCACTAAGGAATAAGCGACGATGACCAAAACGTGTGCGCGTGTGTGCGTGGGTTCATCGCCACGGCAAGCTGGACGATATGCCATTGCCCGCAGGCGGGCTGAGTTATCAGTCGGGAACGAAGCCGAGGCTCATTGACACAGTATCGTCATCGGAGCCGCTGCCAAAGCGTTTTCGTTTTACAAAGACATGGGCAAAAAGGCACCCCAAATTCTTTGCTTATTTTTCGGCTTGTACCGTCAAATCCTAGCGAATTAGTCTAAGACTTGATGCTTATCTTTTCACGCGGAAGAGTCGCCGAGCACCTGGACTGTCCTGAACTTATCTCGAGAGGACCTCACACCCGCACACAAAAAAGAACCAGCACACTACACTGTCATACACACACTCAGGCCCATTCATTTTTTTCACCTTGCTTGACCGCGGTGCCATGAAATGACTGTCGCCTGGCTGCCCCCCCTCTTTCGGCCACTCTGTCTGTACCTCCATGAAGAGGCCCATGAATTACGACGGACAACGTTTCGCGAGCCGAGCGGGGCCGAGCCGAGTCCGGGCAGACACCGCGACGACCAATCAGCGACGGCGCGCCACTGGTTACTCGGTTTGAAAGGAGGTGCGAGAGAGACGGAGTGAGGCGCCCTGGGACGGGCAGCCTGGTACGAGCCGCCGCGCGCCGCGGGACCGCGCCAGTCGACCGCCAGACTTCGAGACGCGCGCGCGTTTGTGTGTGTGTTGCCACTCCACGACTCGACCCGCGTGTGTCTGTGTGTGTGTGTGTGGTTCAGTTGGCCGTCACAGGTTGGCATGTTGCGTCAGAAATGGTCTTAAAGTCATTTCAGCGCGATTTATTTACTGGCGTGTGCTCTGGCTCGAGGCTCTCCCGTTTTGTGACAGTGTAGCGCTGTGCGGTTTGATCCGGTTCCTCTATTGGCTCAGGTGTTGGAAGTAGCGGTCAGGTGTGAGATTAGTATCGTCTAGAAAGAGAGTGGGGAAAGACTTGGTAATGTTTGGTGATTTTGATGTGTGAGGGTCGGATTTTTCTTTCGTTTTAATCTTTTGACGGGGAGTGGTGATTTATTTTGGATTCGTTTTCGTAGACGAGTAGCGATTTCCCGCGTGGCCGCGCCTTCCCTTTCGATTCCCCGGATATCTGGAATGACAGTGAGATAAGCCCTCCCGTGCCGGCTCACGCTCCGGCTGGACCGGACCGGCGGCTCGGCTCGGCCCGGCTCGGCCCGGTTATCCTCGCCCCGACCTGGCTCGATCCGGCTCGGTCGGGCTCGCACCGGATTCGCACTCGGCATGATGATGGGCTCTCTCTCTCTCTCTCTCTCTCTCTCTCTCTCTCTCTCTCTCTCTCTCTCTCTCTCTCTCTCTCTCTCTCCGACTCTTTCCCTCTTTTTCCCCGAACGAGGAAGTCGCTCTGGCACTTTTGCAAGGACGCGGGCAAGGACGTCGTCCGGGTGCACGCCCTGCTTGGCCTGCTCGGCGTGCTGGTGCTTCCGCGGGGCGGCGAGGCGAGGCGAGGGTGGCCGTCGTAAAGGTGACAGGCACCGCTAGCCGCGGCCGTTGTCCGGGGCTCCCCGACGAGACACACCTCCAGGACGGACTCGGTGGCCTTGGCCGTGGACGCGACGCTCTCTCCTGCCTCCTTTATCGTTGGCTCTAGCTTCATTCTGTTCCCACTTTCCTCTTCCTGCTGCCCCTGCGAAGTAGGCACCGCGCGTTGAGGTCCCGGGCCTGCCGGCTGAGCTCTAAGAGTCGTCTCCCTCGCACCCGTACGGGACGCCCCGTGAGTGCGAGAGAGACAGCGCGGCGTCGCTAGCCCGTAATGGTAATGGCAATGCAGGGCGGGCCAGCCCGCAGCACGTGGCTGTGTTGCGGGGCGGCCCAGCCCGAGGTTCGCAGGCGCTCCGTCGTCCTTCGTGTCGTGGGCGTCCTTCGAGACACGCGGCCCGCTTTAACGATTCCGCTTTTCGCCGGCAAAGTGCCTATTTCTGTCGCGCGGCATCGGCTTTCGAGAGGGTCGAACTGGACGTTCCGACCAGTGGAGTGGGTGGCCGGCCACCGGATGCCTGCCTGCCTGGCTCGCCACGCCGAGTGCGGCTGGCGTCTGCTTATTTGCACGAAAGCAAGAAAAGCACAAACATGGGCACTGGCCCGTGCTCGGACTGCAGTCTGCAGTCGTGGCTGTTTGCCTAGCCACCCAAACAGTCGGAGATATACAGTCGAGGGGGAAAACGCGCACTTCCATTCGCGTTCCTTTGCGTGTCGCGACTGTCTCTGTCTCTCTCGCACCCCTACGGCCCTTCGGGACGCCCCGTGAGTGTGACAGAGACAGAGCGACTGCCCGGGGCACCGCGACTTCGGCAGGGGAACGACACGGCCCTCCCCGCCCACGCGCCTCTTGGAGCGCCCCTCTCGTGTGACGTCACTCGGACGGGGCGGGACTTCCCTCGCGTGTTGTTGTTAGTCTGACCGGCAATGCGTAGCAATGTGCGGTGCGTGTCTGTGACGCGCGGCGGTAGGTTTGAACGGGGAAACACGTGTGAAGCTGTCACAAAGCAAAGAGCCGCGAGCCTCGCTAGCCGCCAACCGTGTTGTTGCAACGCGTGCAGAGCCGCAGCGCCATCCCGAGCAGTGCCTCGTCGCTCTGTCTCTCTCGCACCCCTACGGGACGTCCCGTGAGAGCGAGAGAGACAGAGCGACACGGTTCGGAATGAGCCTGCAGTGCAGAGCAGCGTGCTAACACAAGGCGTGTCTCTGCAGACAGGGCTCCGGCATCACGCAGTCTCCTAGACAGTGTCCCAGACAGGCAGATAGAGAGCAGACCAGTCGCCATGTTGTTCTTGTGCGCTATGCAGGTGTCACTCACCGTAGCCGTCTCTGCAGCAGTCATCAAACGGTATGACACTCGCGGTCGCGGGTTCGAGTCCCCGTGGCGGCGGCCCTTTCGGAGGGCGGATTTTGAAGGTGGCAGTGTGACCGGATGGTAACGCTCGCTTTGTCTTGTCGTGTTGCAGGAACTCTTACAGTCGAAGAGGTGTACAAGGATCGCGACCAGTTCGCAGCACTCGTCCGCGAGGTGGCAGCACCTGATGTGGGGCGCATGGGCATCGAGATCCTGTCCTTCACCATCAAGGATGTCTACGACGACGTGCAGTACCTCGCCTCGCTGGGCAAGGCGCAGACGGCCGCCGTCAAGCGCGACGCCGACGTGGGCGTGGCGCAGGCCAACCGGGACGCCGGCATCAGGGTCAGTCATCAATTTCAATCCGATTCTTTCAATTTCCAGCTTTGACATATTTTCTCAGATTTTTTTGGGGGAATTTTTGTTTTATTGAACTTGTTGAATTTGTGCTCTTAGGAAGCTGAGTGCGAGAAATCTGCCATGGACATCAAGTACAATACCGACACGAAGGTGGAGGACAATTCTCGAATGTACAAACTCCAGAAAGCCCATTTCGACAAGGAAATCAACACTGCGGTAAGTGAAATAAAAAAAAAACAGAAAACCATTTATGTTACTATATTATTGATTAAAACTGACTACATTTTTTTTTGTGGTTTGAAACAGAAAGCGGAGTCCCAACTTGCCTACGAGCTGCAAGCAGCGAAAATTCGACAGAAAATCCGAAACGAGGAAATACAGATTGATGTTGTAGAGCGTCGCAAGCAGATCGAGATTGAGGAGCAGGAAGTTCAACGAAAAGAGCGAGAGCTGAACGCCACTGTGCGGCTGCCTGCTGAGGCAGAGAGTTACCGCCTCCAGACAGTCGCTGAGGGCAAAAGGTAACAAAATTACAACCACTCTGTACTTCTCGTTTGTTTTGTTATTTTCAAGACTTTTCTTCCAACCGCTCACACTGGATGCTTGCTTTGTGTTTCAGAACTCAAACAGTAGAGGTAGCACGTGCTGAGGCTGAAAAAACAAAGAAGATCGGAGCAGCTGAAGCGTACTCAATTGAAGTTGTTGGTAAAGCTGAGGCTGAAAGGATGCGAGCCAAGGCTGCTGTCTACAAGCAATATGGGGACGCTGCCATCATGTCCATTGTTCTAGAGGCGTTACCAAAGGTAAATCAGAAATTCTTGGATTCTACCCACCCCTGATAAGGTTTATTGTTCTAACAATATCTTTCTCTGTTTCTGTTAGATCGCAGCAGAAGTTGCTGCTCCATTGGCGAAGACCGACGAGATTGTTTTATTAGGTGGTAATGACAGCACGACATCCGAAGTCAGTAGGCTCGTTGGACAAATCCCCCCTGCGGTTCATGCTCTGACTGGAGTGGACCTATCCAAGGTACAGAGACTTAATAACGCATATTATGTTTCTTTTTCTGTTTTCTTTCAGTATGAAAATTCATTTTTTTGTTTCCTCTTCCTCATTAGGTTCTGAGCAAGGTTCCTGGAGCAAAATAATTGGCCTGGACTTGGGCCATGTGAAGCCACCACGGTGTCTGCTTGGCTTCTTCCTTTGCCAATTATTGTTTTATCATCTGACCAATTCTACATGCTAACCCTTCTAGAAATGTTTAAGGAAATTGTTATTAGTCTTAAATGATTGGCTTTTTGCAGCCATCTAAATTTACTATTATTGATTGTTAAGTGAAATACTTATGTGGAATGATGAACCACAAGTAGCCATTACTGTTGACAATCCCTTTTTGCAGTGTTGAATTCATTCCTGTTCTAAGGGATCTTGTGAACGCGATAAGCCTTTGGAAACTCTTATTACAGACTTATTAGCAGTCATTTGTTTTAAAGAAGGCTTTATACTATTTTCTTATTTTTCATGTTGTAGGGTTTTGAGTTTGTATCACATTTTATATTTCTCATTTTTCTGGCCAAGAATTATGTAACTTTCTTATCTTGGCTAAATTTATTTTGTGCATCTCCGGATCGACACATGTTACTGTATATGATAAGTTTCTTTCATGTTATGTACCAAATTGACAAGTTCATTGTTCTGAGCTATTTCAACATTTTGAAAACATGTCCATTGTGTCGCAACTATGGCCCTGATATTAGTTCAAATATCTTATATGAGGATAACATCAATATTTTTCTGTCTATATTAATTAAAATAATTAGAGTAGAATTAAAGTGTCCAAGAGTTACCAGATCACATGTTGTATACAGGTTGCCTAGTAATATTTTCAGTTTTTATTTTGTTTTCGTTCAAATTGTAAAAAGCACTTGAAGACTGGTTGTATTGTGTTATTAAGCCCACTAAAATTTATACAAAACACCTCAAGTTTTTGGCTTTATTGATTTGAGGAAGAAATTTTAAATTGGAAATAAACTAGTCACCAGTTTCAGTCTTAGATTGGTTGCCATAAAGGAATTTTGTTTTAAATGTTGTTTATTTTAGTTACTTTGTGAATCACATTTATTTTTGCCTTGGATAGAGAACCAGGGGAAAAAGAATGCTTGATTCAAGTCAATACATGTAAATACCAAAGCTGTATGTGCGATTCATATGTCAGATTTTGTAGGATACTGGTGAGCAGTGAGCATTGTCACACACTATGTTAATTTTTCTAACCCTTTTTTTTAAAGCAAGTTTAAAGCAAGACTATGCATATTCTTTGTAACAATGTGTTGCAATGCAGTAGTAAGTTTAAATTGTATAAAAACTTCTGATTGTTAAAGAAAGAGAAGACACCAAAATTCCCACCCAACAAATTTTGTATTCTATCTGTGATGTTCTTCACTGCCCATGGTCAATATGGCCAGTGCTCACTTGTGTTAGCAGTAGCAAGTTCCCAAGAAACATTTGCATATAACAGCACATATTTATGTAAGGAAAAATGTTTCTGAGGACAAAAAAATTACAAAAACAATCTTTTACTGTGGTCTTGATGTATTTGAGTTGGCTTTGTCTTTGCTTCTTGTGGAATATCTTTAAAATTTTAAAATAAGAGTCCATTTAATAATTACAAAAGCACACATGGGGAAGAGAATCTAGAAAAAATTACATCACTTACACTTACCTTACGTTTAGAGTGGTTCGATTGAAACTGTACAGAAAAGTGCTGAAGTTAGTTATTGAACGGTTCCTAAGCTGACCAATAATTTTTACTAGAAGAAGCGACTATGCCCTGATAACCATTGTATGTTCCCTTAATTTAATAATGTTTCTGAGTGGTTCCATTTCTCTGATAGGTAAGGTACGCTAGTATTGCGAGGCAAAAAGCTGACTTCTTAATGTGCCTAACTTCATGTTATAATGTCACTTCAATATCTGATTGCTTTCTTCATGCCTGCTTACAAATGAACCTTGAAATTTTAATATTAATACTCAAAAAAGATTTACTTTTCTATTGTAGTCAAGAAAGAGCAGATTAAATGAGGAACTGAATTATAGAAACTGTCACTTGAGTATGTTTAGAGTGGACCGGAGTGGTTTTGAATATTACTACAAAACCAACATCAACACTTTGGATCCGGCTCAGCAATAATCTATTTTACTGTACCTGGTATACTGTACATTCTTATTAAAGTCAAAGCCATTCCGGTCTACACAGAGTGGCTCTTTAGTTGCACATTGCCATCCTTGCCTTTATTACCTTGTGTATCTCTTTCCATGTATAAGCAGTATTTTCATTGCATTTTGTCATTTCGTTTTTGTTTAACATTTTTATTAAATCTTGGTTATTTTTTGTCTGCATACAATGGAATCTTATTCATCCTTCAAATTCCCTCCACCACACCATATGCATGAGATGACAAGGTCAAAGAGCCTTCAGAAAAACGAAGTAGAGGCATAAAAGAGAATGTGAGAGAGGGCCAGCTTAAAATTATTTTTGAGGCAGCGGTAACGCTTAAACGGTTTAAACCGTGAGGCGCGAAGGTCGTTCGGTGAACCTGCTTGCAGTATGAGAAATTCTGAGATCAAACTTTGTGGACCTGAAAATTTTTCATAGCAGGGCACGTCGTTGCTTAGCAACCAGCGGCTCAAAAATACACAAACAAATCGAACGAATCGAGGGAAGGATTAACTGGAGTTTGTCACAGAGAGAAATGCTTGACAACCTTTATCACTAACAATGTTCAAACTAAAAATTATTTTGATCGGTCCAAAAAAGGTATTTGAAGTTTTCCCGCCCATTTCTGAATTTTCAGACTTCCCTGCTCATGAAATAATCTAATGTCATTCTATTTGTTAGTGTGGCAAAACAGTCATTGCTAACTTTTTAGCAGATGCAACAGAAAGCAGTGGTGGTGACTATCACCCCACACAAGGGGTGAGGATACTTCAATTTGAAAGTGCAAACCTTCCAGTTAACGGACAGTCAGTGAAAGCAGATGTGGAATTGTGGGACTGCAGTGGAGACCATGCGTATGTTCCTGATTCGTAATGAATTTTACGCTTGGGTTGTTATTGTACAGTATATCACGAGAGATCTCCATTGCCATTCTACACAGGCTTTTCGAATCTTGCTGGCCAGCCTTCCAGCAGGGTGTTCAAGGCGTTGTGATGGTTTATGACCCAAATACATCTGGACACACCAATGAGTTGGAAACACTGTACAGTTATTTTGTTCAGCAAGGAGGACTGAGCAGTAAGAGCTGCCTGATTCTTGCAAATCCAAAGTCATCAATGAGATCGACAGCCGTTCCTCTCAGTAAGTTAATAAAGAATTCTTTGTGCAAGCATGACCTGCACTGAAATTAAATTTCTTTTCAACTCTTTGATTTCTGCTGCTCAGGTGGCACATTCAGTCGTGTTCCTCAAACTACTGCAAATATAGATGAAAATGGCAACAAACTCCGATCTGAGTTCAACTCCTTTATGTCTGGATTGATCAGTCGCATGAGGGATTCTCATGAGCAAGAAGAACTAAGCATAATGAGTAGTTTCCACACATAATGTTAAACCTCAAAAAACATTATAAAAATGTGATTTATAAAAATATATTTTACTGTCTACAATGTAATAGTACTTATTGATGGTTGATAAAAGTGAACCTTTCATTTTTTTCAATTTTGAAAACTTGTTTGAAAAAGCGGAACAAGTGTAGAGCCACCCAACATTGTGCAACTCTTTCCAAAGGTGGTCTGACCATAGACGAATTTACATTGAAGTCGTCAATTGGCATACTGCAGACAGACAGATTTGAACCCGCGACCTCGGTCTTCGATGCAAATTCGTCGAAACTGGAACCACCAGCTGGTGCCCGCCGAGCCGATTCTCTCGCGAGCGGGGTATCGCCGCCGCGGCCGTGCCGTGGCGCCCTCCGGCGAGCAGCCGCCCAACTACCGGAGAGGCAGCCAACTGATTCCGGACGGGGCTTCGTCGCTCTGTCTCTCTCGCACCCTTGCAGTGCGCCCCCTGGGTGCGAGAGGGACAGAGCGCGGACAGTTCTGATCCGCCTGCCGCGGTGCATTTGCTGTTGCTCGGTGCATTAGGGCGGGAAGGGCGGCGCTGCCTAGGGCATGAGGGCATTCTAGGGCCCCGCCAGTGGCGCGCCGTGCCGCGTCCCTCCAGCGCCGTTTGCGGAAGTAGTTCTGCGCGCTGGGATGGGAATGGGCGGGAAGGGAAGGGAGGGCAAAGGCAAGGCGCACTCAAAAAAGAACACCGAAGAAACCGCGGAGGCGGCAGAGCAGGTCTGCAGGTCTGCCCGCGGGGACGCCCAAAACTGCTGAGGCCGGAGTGCTTGGAATCGGTGGCGCGGGACGGGGCTGGCCTCGCCTCCTGGGCCTTCCCTCCAAACTCGGAAGTATCTGCCGAACGAGAAGGGAGACAGAGAAAAGGGGCCGGGGATGTCGAGGGAAGGGAATTTTAAAACGGCGTGGATCGGGTTGCGACCGACGGCAACCCATTCTCGCGGAGTGCGGGTCAAAGCAGTACCTTCAGCACAAGGCGAGTTGAGTCGGTGACTCGGGCGGGATGGGACTCGCGTCTCACACACGAATGCCACACACACACACACACACGTTCGCGCCCAAAGAAAGAACAGCGGAACGGAGAGGAGGGTCGTGAATCTACATTCGTGATTAGGTTACGGTATGTGCACGTGTGTGCGTGAGTGTGCGTGCACTCTGTGTACTCCTCCGTCTCACTCGCACGCGGAGGAAAAGAGAGGCCCCGGAGGGTGGACAGCGGGGCGGCAGGGCGGCGCCGCTAGCGGAGCTCCTCCTGCCCTCCGTCTTGGCCAATCTTCCCTATTTCCGCCAAAGTGAGGCCACGCCGGGGAGGCGCGGGGCGGAGGTGCACCGGGAACCACACGCCAGCACGCACGCCAGCTTTTGACCTCCGCCCCGGCGCCGCCTCTCGGCACAGCTTTTGACCCGCCCTCTTTGACTCAATCTTTGACCCAGCCTCGAGTCAGCAGCCTTCCCCGGCACACACGTGCGTGTGCGTGTGCGTGTTTGTGTGAGTGAGGAGAAGGAGAGGGAGAGGCGCCATCTGAGAAGACCGTGGCATGTGCGGGTAACTGCGTCTGCGTGTACCTCTCTGCCCCTGGGTAATGTCCTGCGCAAGGTAAATGGTCCCTGCGTTTAGGGATTTAATGTAAGGCAAGCACGGTAATCGCGGGGTAATCGCTTTCTTTACTGGGGAGCTAAGTTTTACATGAACCCCCGAGGAGGTACCCAGCGGGACGGTTTGCAAGCGGGGAGCAAGAGTACAGCAGTTGAGTTTGTGTTTCTGCGCCTCGCAGCCTTTTCACCCCGGCGGTGCACTGTTCAATGAGGTTAGGCCCCGCCCCGCCCCCGCGGGCCAGCCCCGCCAGCCTCGCCAGCGCGCCGGGTCGAGCCCCCGAGGTCCCACGGCTCGGCTCTCGACAATCAGCACATGACCACCGTCCCCGAGGACGCCGCCGTCGCCGTCGCCGCCGTCGCAGCCAGGTTTGCCGCTCCGCTCCCCCGGATCCCCTCGGAGGAGCCTCATTTGAGGCGGCGCCGCCAGCCGAGCCAGGCAGCTTCCGAACCGCTCCAAGCAGTGTCTCAGCCAGGACGCCGATCCCAACAGCAGTCTCTCTCTCGCACTCACGGCGCTGCGTTGCGTGAGAGAGAGAGCACCCGTCCACGCTGCGACGCTTCCTCTGGAATAATAGAACTGGCCGGTGCAATCTGCCGGCCAAATCGCATCATAGTATGAGAAACGCGACGAAAGAAACCGAGTTAGTTCGCGTCGCCGCCGCCGTGCGGCGACGCTCGTCCCAGCTCATGTCTCTCATCACCCCGACCGCGCACAGTGGGCCAGAAGACCGGGGGAGGCGGCCAAAACTCAGGACGCGTTTTGAGCTCCAGAGTCGCTAAATGGGACACGAATCGAACGTGTGACCCCACCAATGCATTCCTCGTTCGGAGAGCAATTCATTGATGAGGTCACACGTTCGGTTCGAGCCCCATTTAGAGACTCTGGAGCTCAAAACGCGTCTAGAGTTTTGTCCGCCTCCACCGGTCTTCTGGCCCACTGTACCACGTCGGCGGCGTCAGCCACATTATTAGTGCGGGGAGTGAGTAGATTGAACTGGCAGACCGGATTAGCAGCGGCACAGTCACTCTGTCTCTCTCGCACTCACAGGCAACTCCCAACAGGAGAGAGAGAGAGCAACGAAGTAGAGCAGAATCAGTCTTACTGAGCGATTCCGCCGCGACAGAGGGGCGCTTCTCTAAGACTCCAGCACACTGTCTCTCTCGCACCACCGCGGCTCGCCCCGCGAGTGCGAGTGAGACGGACGGCGACGGCATCTGGAGGAAACACAAAACGGCGCCGCGCCACTGCCTTCCGCAGACCTTTTCCCTCACTGGAAACAATCTGCGCTGTTTTATTTATCACTGCCGGAGCGCGCAGTCCCCTCAAGTAGTGCAGGAGTCTGGAGTCCTGGAGCCTGGGTAAATGGCATCAAGCAACTTTGCCTTATTCATCCCTGTGCCGCGCGGCTCTCTCTCTCTCTCTCTCTCTCTCTCTCTCTCTCTCTCTCTCTCTCTGCGTGTGTGTGCGTGCGCGCGCACTGGATGGCGTCTCGTTTTGCTGTCATAAATCTTTGGAAGGGCGCGCGGCGCGGCCGTGGTGGCGTGGTGGCGGTGCGATGCGCGTTTCGGGTTACAGTGTCTTGCATGGCGAGCCGCGCGGCCTCGGCGGCCTCCACGGCCGTGGCGGAGTCTTCCCCGCCTAGTAGTACTTGCCGCGCGCAAGTTTCGCGCCGCGACCCATAAACGCGCGCCGGGAAGTCCTGGAAGGTCCTGGAAGGTCCTGGAAGGTCCTGGAAGGTCCTGGAAGGTCCTGGAAGGTCCTGGAAGGTCCTGGAAGGTCCTGGAAGTCAAGCAGCCCTCACAGTACGACCAGTGACGCAAAAACTTGCAGTGCCGTTCGGAAAGGCCGATTTTTCCTCCCGAGTCTTCGCAGCGGCCTTTCCGAAACACAGCCGCCGACATGACACGCGAGACGCGCTAACGATGGAGACGGACTGCATCGTTTGGAGTCCAACAAGTTGGTCTGACGGGCGGCGGCTAGGCTCCAGCAGCAGTGTCGCCCGATGTCGCCGTTTTCTCTCGCACCCTCGCGGGACGCCACGGGAGTGCGAGAGAGACAGGACGACGAAAGCATGCTGATCGGAATCAGCCTCGGGGCCACCGAGGTCACGCGGCGAAGAGGCGGGGATGACGCCCCCCAGCTACGGGTGGTGGTGCGGTTCGGCTGGCGGTCGGGCACATTTTTCGTCTGTCTGTCTGTCTGTCTGTCTGTCTGTCTGTCTGTCTGTCTGTCTGTCTGTCATTCAGAAACTGCCAATGAGAAGCGACAAGGACACCTAAACAACGCTGTGGACCGGCAAACAGGAAATCTGCCAGGGCCGCCCGAGTACTCGCGAGTGCCTCAGTGCCTTAGTGCCGTCCCACGTGAGGCGGTAACCCCGGGCGCGGCCTGCACCCTTTCAGCCTGGAGTAATGAGGACGTTGACAGAGTACTGATGGCCGAGATGGAAATGAAGGAGATCTCCCCGGAATTATGAATGAAGTGGAGGGAGGGCGAGAGCGGCGAGAGCGGCGACGTGAGACGCGAGCTGAACGGCCGGGCCGTGCGGTGGCGCTGTCTCTCTCGCACCTCCACGGCACGGCCCACGAGTGCGAGAGAGACAGAGCTACTCGGCAGCTGGCCGAAGCGCCAAGGCGAAGCCGAAGCCCCCCGAAGCTTGGCAAGACGGAGCGCCGCGCGTACGGGCTTGGCGGGGCCCGGCGTTGGCGGTCGCCCTGGCCTGCCTGGTCTGCCGGCTCTCTTGGCCGCCACGCCACGGCCTCCTCGACGGCTTTCTCGGCCTTCTTGCCGGGCTTTGGAGTCGCTCCAGAGTTTGCTTTGCATGTCGCCGAGCCGCCTCGCGCTATCAGTCCTGCAGCAAAAACAAAAAAAAACGCGCGAAAATACAAAACGAACTTTAAATGAAAAATCAAGCGGGCGGGGGATGCAGTAAGCCGACGGAAAACAGTGTCCGCCACACTGCTTATTGGTCTGTTGACTGCGAACAGAGCGGAGGGAAGTGTTGCCGAAGTCAATAGCAGGATGAATTAAAGACGATCCGTGGCTTATCACATTTAGCTTCATGACGATTGATGCCCGAGTTGACTAACTCGAGCGATACAAATAAATATTTAGCGATGTCAAGTACTTTCGGAATGATTAAGTTGCGCCGTTAGCCGCTGCTGTCGTCGCTGCCCGTCTCGTCGCTCTGTCTCTCTCGCACCCGCACGGCGCGCTCCGTGGGCTGCGCTGGGCCGCCGGGAAGCTGGGCAGGCCCGCTCAAGCGGCGTGTTCAGCGGGCTGGCCTACCCTCCGTCCTGACAGGGGCGCTGAAAGCGGATGGTCGCTGGCTGGCTGGCTGGCTGGCTGCTGGCTGGCTGGCTGGCTGGCTGGCTGGCTGGCTGGCTGGCTGGGCTGGCTGCTGGCTGGCCGCTGGCTGTCTGGCTGGCTGGCTGGCTGGCTGGCTGGC